TAAATAAAATATAAAAAGGGCTGGGGATGTGGCTCAGTGATTAAGCACCCTGGGTTCAAAAAATAAAAACACCCCACTGTACATATATACATACAAGTATATATATTCACATAGAAAAATATATATTCATATTGGCATGGAATATTGCAAATCTTGATTCTAATTAGATTTAGAAAGTTTCTGTGCAGCATCTTTTAACAAACACTTGAAAGAAGATGGCTGCATATCCCATGTGTTTTTAAATTACTTCAGCATATTGTCTTATTACTCACAGGGGCAGGGCTGCTACACATCTATGATCCATTTATTTCTGTATCATCCTCCTCTGTCCTTTACCCACCCCCATCAGGACAAGACCCTCTGCTGGCCCTCAGCCACGCCTGGCCATGGTCTCAAGGTGGCACTGGCCTTTTTAGTTTTCGGCGGACACAACATCTTTGTTTGTATGTGGTGCTGAGGATCGAACCTGGGCCGCACGCATGCCAGGCAAGCACACTACCGCTTGAGCCACATCCCCAGCCCGGCACTGGCCTTTTTAGCTGGAATGTTCTTCCCCACATGACCCTGAGGCTTGTTCTCTCCAGACAACAAGGTCAGGCCCAGATGTTTAATACTGCATCTCCCTCCCTCCTCTTGCCCAAGATTCCCTTAAGCCCTGGCTTTTTCTTCTTAGCATAAATCACCATGGAACCTATTATGACTTTTATCTGTTTTTCCCATTTCCTCTCCCTTTTAAGCTTCAAGGAGATCAGGAGTTCTGTCCATTCTCCTCACTGTTCTCTCTCCCTCACTGAAAACTGTCCCTAGAACATAGTAGATATTTAATAAATACTTGGTGAAATGCTGGATATGGTGGCACATGTCAGCCAACCCAGCGGCTCAGGAGGCCGAGGCAGGAGGATGGTGAGTTCAAAGTCAGCCTCAGCAACTTAGTGAGGCCCTAAGGCAACACGGTGAGTCTCTCTCTCTAAATAAAATATAAAAAATGGTTGGGGATTTGGCTCAGTGGTTAAGCACCCCTGGGTTCAATCTCAGGCACCAAAAAAAAAAAAAAAAAAATGAAAAGAAAAGAAAAAAGATATAGCCAATCCTCCTTATTCACAGATTCCATGTGTGAATTTGTCTACTCACTCAAGTTTATGTGTAACCCCCCCAGAAATAATACTTGGGTTTTCCGGTTCATTCACAGACATACACAGACTAGTGGAAAATGTGAGTCTCTTGACAGGCACCTTCCTGGCCAAGGTCAAAGCAAGGAACACTCTGCCTTCTAGTGTCAGAGCTCATCAACAAGTATCCTTGTAGTGGTCTATTTAGTACCATGTTTTTATACTTGTGGGGTTTTGGGGTGATCCTGTTAAAAGAAAATGACCCTTAAAGGGTTGGGGATGTGGCTCAGAAGAACCTAACTCTAGATTTCCCCTGGAATCAGTATTTGCTAATTCAGGAGTCACCCCAGCTGCTCACTCCATGGGCCGGCCACTCTTTGCCACAGGCTTCAGGTGTCTCCATGACCTCACTCTCCTACTCTAGTTATGACGGTCATTACCACCCACCTCTCTGTTCCCCACCTCAACTAAAATGTAGACCCCTTGAGGGCAAAGCCTTTATCTTATTCACCCAAGCATCTGAGGTGGCTAAAAAGGTGCCCGGCACAGCACAGCGCTTGACTGAAGAAATACAGCCCATTACCAAGGCTCAGACTCGTGGACGGCCTTCTCCTCCAGACTCCGGCAGCATGACTGAGTTTGACAAGAAACACCAGTTAGACGGGTGCTGCCCAGGGCCATGAGTGGCTACTGAATTGTCAAAAGTGGCCAGTCCCAATGGAAATGTGCTCTAAGTGTAAACTACGCACAGTTCTTGAAGACTCAGTACCAAAACATAGTGAAATATCTTTGCAAGTGCTAGATTAGCGAACTATCACCGCATGCCACCCCAGTGCCCTCAATTTTTTATGTTGATTCCATGTTAAAATTACACTCTCTTGGTCTTCCAGGTTGAACAAATTTAAAATTGGGGGCTGGGGTTGTAGGTCAGTGGTACAGCATTTGCCTAGCATGTGTGAGGCACCGAGTTCGATCCTCAGCACCACATAAAAATGAACAAAGAAAATAAAGCTATTGTGTCCACCTACAACTAAAAAAATTTTTTTAATTAAAATTAATTTCAGCCCCCCCCCACACACACACACACACTTTTTAATGTGTCTACTAAGGAGTCTCCTTCTACGGCCTTGGATTGTAGTTCTCCAAGTCAGTCTTGGTTATAACAACACAAGGCAGCCAGCCACACAACCAAGCCCTATCCACCCTCCAGCTCACCCCACATGGCACTCCCCATGCTCTCCAGAGCCAGGCAGGAAACACCTGTCCAGTGGCTTCCTGTGACACAAATACCTAAGTATATTCACAAATGGAATTCGGAAATCAGGGCTAAAAAAGAGTTTAACAAATGAACCAATTTCACCCCCAAAAGGTAAGCACCATGAGGACTGAGATATGGGGCCATCTTGATCAATACCTAGAACAGTGGCCAGAACGCAGTAGAGAAACAAACCAAATTCTTTGCTTTAGAAAAAAAAAAAGAAGACTATTATTTCAAACTTGTTTACTTATATTTGAGAGCAGAAGAGAAGAGCTAAAGGGGATCTGAAGAATGCAAAATGTTGGGGTCTGGGATAGGATTCTGGGCTCTTCCACATCATTAAGTCATGACCTCAATGGAACTTTCTATGATGATACCAGAGTTCTCTGTTCTGCCCAATACAGTGGCTTCTGAGCCCTTAAGACCTGGCTGACAAACTTTTTTTTTTTTTTTTGGTGGGGGTACTGGGGATTGAACTCAGGGGCACTCAACCACTGAGCCACATCCCCAGCCCTTTTTTATATTTTATTTATAGAGACAAGTTCTTGTTGAGTTACTTAGGGCCTCGATAAATTATTGAGGCTGGCTTTGAACTGTGATCCTCCTGCCTCAGCCTGCTCAGCTGCTGGGATTATGGGATTACAAACATGCAGCATCACACCCAGCTGGAACTGAACATTTAATCTTATTTAACTTTAACCTAACTAGTAATGGGATACACATGGTACCATACTGAACTGCAGAGCTCTGGGCTGTTGTAACAGGACGAGAGAAAGCTTGGGGAAAAACAACAACAACAAAACATTTAACAACAACAACAAAAAAAACATTTTGTAAGTCTGGGTGTGGTGGTCCATGCTTATAACCCTAGTGACTTGGTAGTCCAGGGCAGGAGGATCTCAAATTAAAGGCCAGTTTCAGCAATTTAGCAAGACTCTCAGCAACCTGGCAAGACTATGTCTCAAATAAATAAACAAATAAATAAATAAATAAAAGGGCTGAGGATTTAGCTCAGTGATAGAGCACACCTGAGTTCAATCCCCAGTACTACAAAAAGAAAAAAAAGAAGTTACTCTGAAACATTTTATAAATGCTAATGTCCTATAGAAAAGGTAGGGACTTTGTTGTTTAAAGTATTAGAAATCAAGATCCAGGGCTGGAGTTGTGGCTCCAGTACTTACGAGGCACTGGGTTTGGTTCTCAGCACCACATAAAAAATAGATATTGTGTCGCTGGGTGCAGTGGTGGATGCCTGTAAGCCCAGCAGCTTGGGAGGCCGAGACAGGAGAACTGTGGGTTCAAAGCCAGCCTCAGCAACAGTGAGGCGTTAAGCAACTCGGTGAGACCCTGTCTCTAAGCAAAATATAAAATAAGGCTGGGGATGTGGCTCAATGATTGGTCCCCGAGTTCAATCCCCAAGACCACCCCGCCACACACACACACAAAAAAAAGATATTGTGTCCATCAACAACTAAAAATATAAAAAAGAAATCAGATTGAGAAGCTTTAATTGTCCAAGTTCACAAAAACTCAACTTAGCAAAAGTTGGGGGGAAATGAAATAAGCATATGTTTTACTTTACTGGAAGGGTAGCTAGGGTTGATGAATTCCTAAGATCAATTGGAATGAGAGATCAGTGACCGATAAGCCATCACATAGCTCAAAGCACCAGGCCTTTTAATTCACACTGCCACAGGCAGATCTGGTACCTTAGGGCTACACAGGCCATCAGAAATCACAGCTGCCAGTGAATTCCTGATAGATTATATTCCTATTTCCCCACACCCTCACTCTGGAGACCCAGATGTTTCTTGCCCTTTCTGCTGACCTTTATTGCTGGCTCTCCTACTACAGAAATAGGTTGTTGCAATACCTCCCTTCTCGCCCTCAGTCCTGACATTCACTCCCAGGCGCCAGGCTATCAACAGAGGTTGTTCACATTTGCTGATAGACAGTAAAAAGCAACCTTTCTGCAAAGGGGTGGAGGCTAATTGGTAGCTGGGAAGAATGCAAACTTGTTTACACTCAGGTTGGAAAACGTTCATGAAATTCAAATCAAGCTCTTGTCTCCCAAGATTTTTTCCCAGCAGGAAAGCCCTTCCCAGTCCAAACATCTTTTCATTACCATTAAGATAATTATATCCTGCACACAATCAGACAATCAAGAAATGAGCAGGGAAGTGGAAAGAGGGGTGAATTGTTAGGACAGGAAATGTAAAAAATCAGTTCCTCAGGAGACTGAGGAACACTTCCAAGTACGAATAGAAGGAACTGCCCTAAAATATTCAAGGGATTTTTGTGACCTCATTCATTCTTCTCTACTAAAGAGTTCCACCGATTTCCCCCTCAGTCTTTTGAAGCTTTTCAGACATTGAAATCTGGGGCTTAAGCAGTTGTGTTAAGTTCTGCACAGCCCTTGGGTTTGGCCCCATGGAGCTTCCATAATGAAAACCATGTGAAATTGGATCCACATGCATTCCTCCCACAGACTGGTGTATTTTATTCTGTCAGACGCACACTCTGCTGTTGCTCAACTACCAAGGAGTGGACTCCAGCCATCACCCTCCAGCTATTAGAACAAACCCGCGTGATTGACAGGACTTCACCAAAAACAGGGACCCAGCTCTCTGTACCTCAAGTTCAGTCTCTCGTCTGTTGATATCATCCGTAGATTGGTTTAACTTCTCCAGTTCTCCCTGGCAAAGAAAACAGAAAAGAGATTGAAGGGATCGGCTTTTGTTTCTCTTTTAACTGAGTCCACCCCCCGACTAATTTGCAAGACCAGGGAAAAGTCAGTTATGCTAAAGGAAAATAGTGGAGGCTCCACTGGAAGAGCAAGTTGTCAACATTTCTAAAAACTTCTCGATGGTGGCGTCCTTTCTGAAAATGTCTTAAGATCCTAGGAATGTGTCTTTCCTTGGAAGGTCAAATATCTATTACAGGTATGTGCCTTCAGGTAAACTCACTGGTTATAAATAGTTTAGCAACACATAATAGCAGCATCATATGCCTTAAGGCAAGAACTTGGCAATTACCAAAAAAAAAAAAAAAAAAAGCAAGCCAAGCCAAAAGTGTAAACCCAGTGAAATCATTTAAATCAAGGAACAGCCTTCTAGTATCAACTCATCAGTGGTCAAATATTTTCCTATAACAAAGCTTTTAAAAATGTTAGCCAATTATTCAAAGTACCTACTAAAAAAAAAAAAAAAAAAAAAACTTGCTTCAATCGGTTCTTCTCAATAAACATTTACAAACTGACATTTTGTAACAAGTACCAAACATGAACTTAACTCATCTTTACTGTGCAAACAAAGGATCTTGCGAACCGAATTCTCCACTAAGAACGTAAGATTTAGTCGTCCAAACCAATGATTGTAATTAACAGAATCATTCCTAACACAAAGATTGTTTCCACCTGATCTTCATCTTGTAAATCTGCCAAAACAATTCATTTGAACCCCAACCACTGAGTTAATCGAGCTTTCAATTGACCTGTACTAATAAGAATCAATTAGGGGTTCGGAGAGTATGGTTTAAAGCAGTATTTTTTAAAAATATTATTTATGGCAAAGGTGGAAAAACGAGTCTTGCAAAGGAATTTGCTGTGCTTTTTGCTCAGGGGGGTGAAGAGGTTAAGCTGTCACTCCACGATCTCGGCTGGGCAATTGTTTTTTAATTTTCTCTCCTGGAAATGGAGGCACAGAAAGCCAGGCTATTCCCCTCGCCGCCTCCACGCGTCAGCTTTGCGCATCAGCTGTCCCTGATTTCTGTTCCTACCCGACCTAACAAGGAAAAGCTGGGTTTTAAACCATTTCAGGCCGAGAGGAAGGTGGACAATAAACCCTTCCGGGTGTTAACAATGAATCAAAGGAGAATGAGCGCTCAGGCCCAGCACCCTCGCCAGGTGAGGGCTCCAGGGGCCCTGGGCACCGGTGCCAACCCACGCTGCAGGGGCGGGCAACGCCCACCCGGTGCGGTCGCCGGCCCGCCCACGGTGCCCGCCGCCCACGCGGGCTGAACAAGGTCGCTCTTGGTGCCAGGAGGCTGGGCAGTGCCAGGGGCGCCGCCAGCCTGGCCCGGCGTACCCCGAAATCCTCGCTCTTCGGGCCCCCGCCCCCCTTTTCCCTTTGTTGCACATCCACCCGAACCGCTGGCACGCTGCAGCGACCCCCAGGTCCCCCCGAGGGTTTGCGGGGCGGGTTGCGGGGGTGGGGTTCCCGCAGGATAATCGGGCCGCGTCCTCGCAGGCACTGCAGCTGCCCATTGGGGGAGACTGTACAAGGGGGTTATCTACACCCTCGCTTCTCGCTCCTGGCCCTACGCAGCCTCTATCCAGAACCGCGACGCTGGAGGGCTGCGAAGCGGGTTTACGTGTAGACGCCGACCTCGGCGGCAGCCCTGGCGGAGACGGGATGCGGGGCGCCCCGCGAGCTCCCTACCTGTATCCGGGGGTCCACCTCTTCCTCCTCTTCCAGCCCCTGCTCCATCCCTTCTTCCTCCTCCTCCTCCGCGTCCCGGGCTGGCGGCAGGAGCTCCGGCTCCTCTGCGCGGCTCCGCTTCAGCGCCGCGTCCATGCGGGCAGCCCGCAAGCTCCGCAGCCGGGATGCCCCGCGGCCGGCGCGCCAATCGCTCAGTGGCTCGGAGCCCCCCGAAGGGTCGCGGCTGCCGCAGGCTGTGCTGGAGCGGCCTCGCCACAGCCGGGCACGGTCGGGGAGCCGCCGCGGCTGGCACCCGGGAGGCGCCGCTGGCCGATGCGGATCCCTCCGGCCCCGGCGGAGTGGCGCGGAGGAAATGGGCGCGGCTGCCCCCTTTCTGCCACGGCTGTCAGCGCAGCTGCGCCCCGCTCCGCCCCCGTCCGGCCCGGGCCGCCCAGCCGTCCGCCAGCCCCAATTACCCAGGGCTCCGTCACAAAAAGCCCAGCTAGCTGAAAATCACCAGGGTGCCGCCACCTCGTTGTAAATGAGCAGCATGAATGTTTCACGCATTACGCAGCCCGGGGCCGCCTGCTTCTTGGGTAGATTGTTTCCTCCCTCCTTCCTCCCTGGGACCAATTGAGCGTATAGAAAGAAAGTTTGGGGTATTTCCACTCTCTGAAATCACCTTTAGAAGCCAGTACTCAGTGACTCTGGACAAGATCCAAGCCTTGCTCAAAGACCTGAACCCAAAAGCACGTTTGTTCCCTTGGGTGTACCTGAGGAATCGCAAACTTGAAGTTTTTTCCAGAAAAGGAAACTTAAATATATGCTCACATAGACATGAGTACGAAAAGAGCCAGCGCTGTGGCGCACACCTGTAATCCCAGCAATTTGGGAGGTTGAGGCAGGAGGATGGCAAGTCTGAGGCCAGCCTAGTAACTTAGCAAGACCATGTCTTAAAATTTAAAAAAATAAAATAAAATACACAGAGTTGGGGATGTGGCTCAGTGGCAAAGCGCCTCTGGGTTCAATCTCCAGTATGGATACTACTACTATTACAAAGAGGAGAGCCAGCTGCTGTTCCATGCTTGGAGTCATTGTCCAAAGACTGGAACTCTATTGGGCACAGCTGCATACCCAAACGCATATGCTTTCACAAGTGTGGAATGGTCCTACCTGGATAGCCAGGAAGCATCCAGAACCCATTGGGCTGGAAACTGGGTGAGTTGATGTGGCCTTTTCAAAGATGTGCCAAGTGCAATGCCTGTTGATGGGCACACTCTGGCCAAGGATTTATGGACTGATGAGGTTTTTGCCTACCTTCAACAAGTAGGGAACCAGAGTTTGCCTGGCCAACTCAGCATCACAAAAGGCCAAGCAGTGAAGGGGCCTGCCTGTGCTGTTACAAAATGTCAGGGCCACTGTGATGTCAGGGAGTGCAAGGTTAGATGACCTTGGCAAAGCAGGTGGGGACATTGGTGCTGGTGGCTGCAAATGTCTCCGCTACAGAAATGCAGAATGTCCAGCGGCTCTGGAGGCTGAGGCAGGAGGATTGCGAGTTCAAAGCCAGCCTCAGCAAAAAGTGGGGCACTAAACAACTCAGTGAGATCCTGTCTCTAAATAAAATACAAAAAAGAGCTGAGGATGTGGTTTCAGTAGTTGAGTGTCCCTGAATTCAATCCCCAGTAACACCGCCCCCCCCCCCAAAAAAAAAAAGAAATGTAGAATGTGACCACTTTCTATAGAGGCTGCAGCCTGGAACTCTATGAATCAGGAGAAGCATGGTTCAGAAAGAAGCTTCTTTATGAGGGAAGCTGTTTCTATGGTTTTCTCAAAAGTTGGGCTAGGGGGTTACTTCTAAGGCAAAGTCCCACCCTGAACACACTGTCGCTATGAGCTGTTAAAGGAGGTTTGTCCTGTCCAGGAGATAGTGCAGGTACATGCCATCAGTTTATTTCTATAAAGGCCACACCTGTTCATTGCCCCTCAATTTGAGGGTGAGTTGTCCATTTTGTGAGAGATATTTTGAAGCTCCTTGACAAGGACACACATTTCTTTTAGTTTCCCGGTGATAGATGAAGGCAGGGACAAGATGGCCATTAAGGGTCACTTTGGCCACCAGAGTTTCTCTTAATGGCTTTGAATTGAGTTTATAAGTGAGCAGGTTTGTCCTTTTTCAATGGTTGAAATAAGCAAAGTTAAGATTTATCCTGACAGTAAATGTTTCTCAGCTGGTGGAACCTCATCCCTGTCATCCCAAATAACCATACCCCAAACACATTTCTGTTTAAGGCTAGATGTAAGAACAATAGAGTGGGTCAAAATGCTTCCATGGGACATAAGAATACTGTTCTAGGACACCAGATTGTTATTTTATTTTTGCTTATTTATTTGGGAGTATTGGGAGATTTAACCCACTGAGTTATATTCCCCAGACATTTTTTCTTTCTATTTTGAGGTAGGATCTTACTAAGATGCTTAAGGTCTTGATAAATTGCAGAGGCTGGCCTTGAACTTGCAATCCTCCTGGCTCAACCTCTGGAGCCCCTGGGATTACAGGTTTAAACACCATCATGCCTGGCTTTGGTCTCCCATTTTTAATGGGACTTACTATCCCTTCATTATTCACAGGTTCCCAAAAGTTCAGGGGTATGTACATCAGGGAGCAGGAAATGAAGCAATTTAATGTTTATCTTACTGAGCATATTGACCAAGAGGTTCCTGAGACTTTCCAGGTGTGTCCCTAAGATTGAAATTACTTTTGTGCTAACACTAAAACACTATTTAACTTTTTCAAGCTCTTTCTCCCTTAAGTGTGCTTTGGGGTTTTCCAGAAGCTACATGACAAGTCATGTCACAACAGATTGAATGCAGATGAGGCGAGGAGCCAGTTGCCTTCCATTCAGCCACATGTCCTAGAGATTTGCAAAAATGTCAAACAATCCCTTCTTTTGTTTTGGAGACAATTTTATTGTTCAATTTGGATACTATCGTTACTTTTCATAAAAGCATGATGTTAGATGAATTAATAGAAATATTTTTAAAATTAGGTTTTAATTTCTATACAGTAATTACTGATAGGACCACATAAACAAAAGTTCCTTGAAATGGTCAATCATTTTAAAGACCATAAAGGGATCCTGCCACCAACAAGTTTGAAAACCACTTATTTAGAGGAAATGCATACTCTAGTTTGAGTTTTCTCTTATTTGTATTTATTTATTTGGTACCAGGGATTGAACTCAGGGGCACTTGACCACTGAGCCACGTCCCCAGCCCTATTTTGTATTTTATTTAGAGACAGAGTCTCACTGAGTTGCTTAGCACCTCGCTTTTGCTGAGGCTGGCTTTGAACTCATGATTGTCCTGCCTCAGCTTCCTGAGCCTCTAGGATTACAGATCTGCACCACTGTGCCAACCTCTCATTTGTATTTAAATGTTCCACTTTCCCTTTCACTCAAAAGATAAATATCTTGGCGGATGTGGTGGTGCAAGCCTATAATCCCAGCATCTTGGGAGACTGAGGCAGGAGGAGATTGTGAGTTCAAAACCAGCAACAGTAACTTAGCAAGCCTCTAAGCAACTTAGTGAGACCCTGCCTCTAAATAAAAATAAAAAGGTCTGAGGATGTGGCTCAGTGGTAAAATACTGGGTTCAATCCCCAATCACAATCCCTAATCATGTGGCCCACAGTGTGGGCAAAGGTGGTTGGCCGATGCCTTTGCCCAGATCTTGAGAACTGCTTTCCTTGGAGAAGGTGCTCCCTGTTCGATTTATTTTTATTAACTTTATCTATCTATCTATCTATCTATTTTATGTGGTGCTGAGAGTCGAACCCAGTGCCTCACATGTACTAGGCAAGCGCTCTACCATGGAGCTTACAGCTCCAGGCTTTGATTTAAGATGTAAGAACAATAGAGTGGGTCCTTGCTGTTTGAGTTGGACAGTGGGGAAAATTACACCACGTTTGTTTGGTCACTGTCCCACCACTTCCCCAAGTTGTAAACCTTTCTGGGCAAAAATCATAGCCTTTGCACTGTCTCAGTTGACCTTTAAAACAGGGTCCTGAAATTTGGAGAGGGGGAGGAAAGGGCATCTAGCTGGCTGAGCTGGTGTGGACATACCCTCCTTAGAGGGTCCTTCCTACCTGCTCTGGTTTCCTGCAGGGGATGAGGTAAGCCTCCCTGAGACCCCACTCCATTGCTTTTGTCATGCAATGTCATGAATTTGCCATCCAGGCCTGGTCCCCCAGGGTTATACAAGCAGAGACACAGGCTCCTTATTTGGTCCACCCCTTTGAGTGCTGATTGCATGGCGGTGTTTCTATTTCTGCAGGTGTTGAGAGATACTTGGATCTATCAAATAAACACTTAATGTCCTGGACTATTCAAAGGGTGTCACTTTTCTGTCTTCAGGGGAAACAAAGGGGAGCTCCAGCTACGTCTAAAATGCTCTGTGGCATTTTTGTCTTGTTTTGTTTTGGGTACCAGGGATTGAATCCAGGGGTGCTTAACCACTGAGCAACACCACCAGCAGTTTTTTATTTTTTTGATTGGAGACTAGATTTTGCTAAGTTGCTGAGGCTGACCTTGAACTTGCAATCCCCCAGTTTCAGCCTCCCCAGTGGCTGGGATTACAGATATGCCACCACACTTGGCCATCCTTGGCCTTTTTTTTTTTTTTTTTTTGTAAAGCGAGAAGCTTGTTTTTTTCCTTGCAAACTCTTGAAAACCAGAAGTGGAGAGGCAAAAAGACTCAATGACTTCCGAGAGGTTTGAGTAAGCTTTGAGCCCACAGTGGAAAGCAGAGGAGGGCACTAGTATTCTGGCGCGTAGAGGCAGCACTTTTTTCCCTCCTGAGGAGTGTTGGAAAGAGGCCGGGTCTCTGTAATAAGGTAAGTATACCATGTCACTCACCACGGGGATATAGAAGTCAAGCTCGCCATTCCTCCTGGAAGGGTCAGGATGGTTCTATAGAGAAACCATCTCTAGGCAGAATTTGCTTGAACAAGGGAGGAACATTTTGTCAAAAAAAGAAAAGCTTCCCACACTGGGGAACTGAGGAAGGATGGACGGAATGGAGTGGTCAAAGGCTTGGGAACACGAAGGGACAATACAGAATGGGTGGAGCAGGGGATGGAGAGTTTGGGGCAGGTCCCCAGGGGCCTTGAATGCCAGCCTAAGAATTTTGGAATACAGACTATAGAAAATGAGGTGTGCTGGGTACGGCGGTCCAAGCCTGTAATCCCAGTGGCTCAGGAGGCTGAGGCAGGAGGATTGAGAGTGCAAAGCCAGCCTCAGCAACTTAGCCAGGACCTAAGCAATTTAGTGAGTCCCTGTCTCTAAATTAAAAAAAATTAAA